AATCCCTCCACTGGCTTCCACCCCCCACGACTCTTTGTCAATACCTCCACTGGCTTCCATCACACACCCCTCTCTGCCAATACCTCCACTGGCTTCCATCCCCCACCTCTCTTTACTAATCCCTCCACTGGCTTCCACCCCCCACGACTCTTTGTCAATACCTCCACTGGCTTCCATCACACACCCCTCTCTGCCAATACCTCCACTGGCTTTCACTCCCCGCCCATCTTTTTCAATCCATCCACTGGCTTCCAACCCCCACACCTCTCTGCCAATACCTCCACTGGCTTCCACACCCCTCCATGGCTTCACAGTCGTGAAGCAAAAAGGCAGACCAGAAGTTCTGACCTCACAATGGCTGTCTGATCTCTTTGCTTGTTAATGGGTGGTAGTTGCTCACCTCCCTGTCCATAACTTTATATCCACAACAGGAATTTTGTTGCTGTGCTGTGATTGAGACAGAATGGAGCTGAATATATAAAGTGGAGTGCAGGAACTTGAGTAAGGATGCCTTATGTAGGACAAGGCCTCCGATAGCTGCTTTGGACAAAATCCAAGTGATTTAGGAGACTAGGACTGTTCTACTCTTGAACCTTTTAAACCTTCTAAGCACAGATGAAGATATGTCTCTTAGAATCCAAACCCTGAAACATGTTGGCTCAATTCTTTTGGATATACTATGATTAAAAAAAAAAATATTTGGATGCTCAACCTTTAGTACTGTGCTGTGATTGGATGTCTCCATCTGCACAGAATTCCTGCCCAAGTGAACCCAGCAGGATATTTTATGCAACCAAGAACAGCGCTGTATGGGCTAAGCTATCCAACACAATGGAATGTCTACAATGTCACAACCAGGGATGACCATGGTAAATAAAAGGTGGCCTTAAAAATTGAAGAAGAAAATCAATGCTAAATATAACAGTTTTGGCTTCTCCGGCCTCCCTTAAGGCATCATATCTGGTAGGGATAAGGTTTGGGTTTGCTTAAAATGGGTTTGCTGCAAACCCCCGGGACTCGCCAAGTTTGCAAATTGCAAACTTTTGTCCTAACAGTTCACAGGTTTGCAGCTGGCGTACGCAACAGTCTCTAGTGCAGGGATGGCCTTTGCCCCTGTTCAGGTGAGTTGCAAGAGCCAATAATTTGAGGGAATGGACAACCCAGCCCAAGGCAGGCTCACAGCAACCATATTGTCAGTGAGGTGTTAGGCCATTCTGTGTAGGGATTTATACTTATTTATTAAGATTTTTCCATTAGTATACAGTATGTCCTCCATGGTAGTTTTCCGCTTTTCATGCCTTTTGCTTGCTTGCTTATCAGCCCTGCAAATGGCCAGAACTGAATGAACCCAGGCAGATCCGTTCATCCCCATTATTTGGCAGAAGAGAGGTGGCATGCTCTAAGAATAAGCCTTCCATGTTGTGAAGCTGAAAGCCTCCAAAGGATTCTGGGACTTCCTGCTGAATTATAACAAAATCAAAAACGCTTTCAGACAAATTCAGTTCCAGCTGTAAATCTGTGAAGCGGGCTCACCTCGGCAGACAAAGCAGCACTCGTTCTCTGGAAGGATCAGATCGTCTTCGGTGCAGTTGAGCGGCGGGCAGGGCTCCGCTACCTTCTGCAAAGCTCCATTCTGTAGGCAAATAACGACATTATTTGTGTTAAAAGAGCTGCCGGCGGGAACATTGCGACAAGCGGCAAAAGGTCACACAGTTTCTAATCAACGCTCTGCTATTCATTTCGAAAGCCGACCCTAACTGGCAGCGCAAATCACAGCGGAAAGGGTGGAAATGATCTTTTATTTGTATCCCGAACCTCCAAATGAACGGAGTATTATTTGCACACAGTGAGGGCTGCAGAAAAGCAGCATCACAGCCTGGAGGATGGGGGGTGGGGGTGTCTGACAAAGGAAAAAAAAAATGGCAGTAGCCAACTGAATTAGCTTTCGCTGCCTAACCTGGGAAAAATGTCAACTGCAATCTGATTGGCTGCTATGATTATCCTTCTGGAAACAGATAATTTTTTTAAGCATTAGTTACAATTTAAGAATAATTATATATAATTTTATATGCAACGGAAGGCGGTATCAGCACAAAACAAATAATGTAGCAACAGGTACTGTAAGCAATCAAAGGTCTTCCAGAAGTGAGCAAAGAGGACATTATAGTAGCTTTCTTGCACCGTTTTCGGCAGGTCACAGCTCTACTTTCTCAAGGTCTTGCCATGACTAGTCAAAACGTTGGTGCTATAAAAGCTACTGTGCTGCCCTCCTTCTTCACTTATGGAATCCATAGGAGTGCCCACAATAACTGTTGCCTTATATCAATCATTCTGTTTAGCCGGTCTTGATCCACCCCTGACACACTGTATACCAGAAGGGTGATTCCACTTTCTCTATAACGGTTAAAGAATACATCAGTGTCACATCCCTGCCCTCCAGGCTGTTGACTGGACAATGAAGAAGTAACAAGTCATACATGAGGTCATCCAGGCCGTCTCCTCCTTTAAGCACCTTCCCTGTGTTAGACAGTCCTAACTGGTTGACTGTTGCCCTAGTCCGAGTCTGACTGTGAAGGAGAACAGTTTAGCCAGCCAAGGAGAAGCAACCCTGTAAGACCCGGGGTTAGAACCCGGGTCTCTGGCACGGAAGTGCACAGACTTAGCCGTTCAGCCACTGGAAGGACTTGGTTTCTGTTGCAGGTTTTTTGTACTGAGCAACTCTCCTTTTGGACACTTTGGCTCCGCCTGCCAACCAGCTGTAGAAGATCTGCAGTAACTCAGGCTTTAAATACCGAACACTTCCTGTGCTCTGAGCCCGTTGATTTGGGTTAGTTCCTGTGTGAGCTGCCTCTGTGTTTTATGCTGGATTCACACTGTGACTCTTGTTTGTTTCCACTATTCTTCTGCCTGACGATTTTGTACCTTGCTGCCCGATCGCGTCAAGACCTCAGCCCGCCTCCTGACTACTCTCCTGGATCCCGACTTTGTACTTCGCTGCCAGACTGCTGCCAACCCAGCCAGCCTGACCACGTCTTCGCCTTATCCTCAGCCTAAGATCCACTTCGCACTCAGCCTACTACAGGTGCGTTTCACAAGGGAGGAATTCAGACAATCAAAGGGCTTCCATAAATAAGCAAGGAGGACAGTATAGTAGCTTTATTGGAAGGTTTAGGTGAGTTACAGCCCTACTTTTACCAGGCCTTGAGAAAGGTGAGCTGTCATTTGCCGAAATGTTGGTGCTATAAAGCTACAATGCTGCCCTTCTTTACTTATGGAAGCCATCTGAGTTCCTACAATACCTGTTGCCATATATATATCAATTATTCTGTTTAGCTGGTCTTGATTCACCCATGACACACTGAATACAAGAAGGGTGATTCCACTTTCTCTATAATGGTTAAATAATACAGCGGTGTCACTAGGGTTGCCACCTTTTCTTCAAATGAAACCCCAACGATCTAGCGCCGCAATTTTCTCTTTTGGAGAATATAGAGGAGAAGAACACAGGAGAAAAAGCAAGGAGAGACAGCCAAGGGAGGGAGTAAGGAGACTGGCTATAGAGGGCTACAAGTTCCAGCAATACATTATACAGCAATACAAAATAAATATCAAGCAACATATGTGTTGTTCCGGGGTGGCTCCCTGATGTCTCCAGGGTCTCAGGTGGCCTGTGTGGGCTCTCACCAGGGCTGTGCTTGCTCTCAGGTGGACTCTGCGGGCTCTCAGGTGATCTGTGGAGGCTCTCATGTGAGCTGTGCAGGCTGTCAGGAGGCTGTGCAGGCTCTCAGGTAGGCTATGTGGGCATTCAAGTGGCTCTGTGGGTTCTCAGGTGGGCTATGTGGGTTCTCAGGTGGGCTATGTGGGTTCTCAGGTGGCTATGTGGACTTATGTCTTTATTCAACCTCAAATACTATGTAACTATGTATGTGGGCTATGCAGACTTTCAGGAGTGCTGTGCAGTGTCTCACCAGGGGTCTGGAGGCGAGGAACGTGGTGTCAGGAAGACGTAGGAGGAGATGTGCGGGCTGGTGCCTTCTTACATGCGCCTGTGGCTCGCAGGAAGGCTCCCGCGCTTGCTGGGGACCTCAGCAGCCTTCCTGTGAGCTGCGGGCTGGCACATCTCCTCTTCCATCTTCCTATCAAAAAATGAAAAGTGTCCAGGTGTCAAAAACCAGACTATCCAGGTGAATCCTGGACAGGTGGCAACCCTAGGTGTGACATCCCTGCCCCCCCAGGCTGATGATTAAACAATGAAGACGTAACAGGTCATACAAGAGGTCATCTGGGCCATCTCCACCTTTAAGCATGTTTAAGTTCCCTGTGTTAGACTCACAGCCCTAATTGGTTGACTATTGCCTTGGTCCGAGTCTGGCTGTGCAGGAGATCGGTTCAGCCAACCAAGGAGAAGCAAGGGGGGGCATGATATTTACAGCACTGTTACCAATGCTAAATGGTTTGTATGTCCTAGACCCCAATCTTGACCTTGGGGGGTAACTGAGCTCCCCCATTACAAGGGTGCCTGCGTATAGCAACTGACTGTGCTGGTAGACCTATATGTAATGAAATTCATACATTCATATTTGCCTCCTGCGTCCCAGATTTCAGAGTACATGATGACAATGTGTTATAATAATATATGACAGGATTGCGGGGGAAGGATTGCACGGGCTCATTTGGACACAAGCAGGCTTCTCACGTGAATGTAAATCTGACATTCAACCTTGATCCCAGCCACATGTATCAGAGCAAAGCAATTTGCCGGCTTAGCACACATCTGTGCGATGCTGCAGACAAAAGGAGCTGCGGAGAGGAGAATGAGTGACAGGCCGGCCTGGAGCTCTGCGAGCTGATAACAACAGTCACGTATTCCCCATGTTTAAATAGGAGACAAAAAACTGGTAGACTTACTCTGCATTCTCTGCAGCTTGTCGTGAGGATCTTCTGACCTTCAGCCAGAACTTTCCCACCATAAACACATTTAGCTGAAAGGAGAGAACAAAAATCCAATGTTATTTGGGCTAAAAGATTGAGATTAAAGTAAATATATCAGTAATTTTACAAGTCTGCATAAATAACTTCCTGACAAGATGCAATATACAGCAACATTATTATTATTTTTAGAATAACATTTACACCTTTTATCATTAAGAAGCCATCCTTTAGCTCCACTCGGTGACTTTTTGTAGGCATTAGTATGCTGCAGGCAGGAGGAAGCATTTCCTCTGTCTTCCCTCCCCCCAGTGATCAGACTGCTGCAGGCAGGAGGAAGCATTTCCTCAGTCTACCCTCCCCCAGTGATCAGACCGCAACATCACAACTTTGTAGAAAGTCACAAGGTGAAAGGCAGCAGCAAGGGCCGATCTTGGTCAGACAAACAAGAATTACACAGGCACCAAGATTTACATGATTGTGTCATCCCTGAGGCGCCATCTCAGCCCAGGAAGTAGACAGTAACCCTGGATGATGGCACTGCCCTCCTGAAGGGAGAAGAAGATAAAGGCATTGCCAGGCGGAGTACTGTGATCTCTGAGAGGTAATAAATACCTGAAACGGTTACAATGACACAATACTCTGCATGCTGCTCTTAACATATATCTGATGCTAGGGCCACCACTGTAGCCAACTCCAAAGATTTTTGGAAACAGCGTGGCACACACTTGTCTTATTTTTTAATCCTAGCATTGTTGGAGGGCACTAGGGCACTCCAGTGTGTACACCCTTCTGGTCACCATTAGTGATGGGCTCAGGCGTGTTCGCAGCTCCACGTGCCGAGCCCAGCAGAAAGCGGACAGCGCGCAGCACCAATCACAGGTTCCGAGACATTTTCCCGGTCCTCAGCTGCAGAGATTGGGGAATGTCTCTGATTGGCGCTGTCGCTGTCAGCTTCCTGCTGGGCTCGGGCACGTGGTGCTGCGAACACGCCCGAGCCCATCCTTATTCACCAGTGATCTAATGACCTGGGAACACTCTATTCAGTCAACAGTCTCTCCAAAGGATTCTGGGACTTCCTGCAAAAGTCTCACAAATTAAAGTCTCTCTAACTAGGCAATCCACTAATGGAAATACAACTAATGCAAAGTGGGGAATCTAATATTGGTTCTACAAATCCAAAAATAAATAATAATAGGGGAGTCTTTTCTCTCACCAGCTCACCAGTGATCACCAATCCAACAATATATATCAATGACTGTATGTAATTTGCATGATAATGAGCATGGGCTGCTCAAAAACTGTGGCATTGCTACATTGAATCCTTTTGAATAACACTTTTGAAGTGTGCTGAAACCTTTGGTTTGGACTTCTATGTAATGGAAGGGTAAGAGCGGTACCCTCCTGTTGCTTGGTGCACACTATATTCCACATAGAGACCCACATTCTTTCTGCCTTAGCCATTGAATGTATATACGATTACACCTTCTTTTCTCTTACACCTATGTGTAAAAGAAAAGAAGGTTTACACAAAGAATCATAAGCCGCTCAACAAAGCCCTCATATCGAGTCCTTTGTATGAAGGAATGTTTTGTTCAGAAGTCTTCCCACATCCTACAGGTTTGGCTGGTAGCCCCAGTTGTTTTTATACACAAGGAGAATATTCTCATACATTTCATAACCATTATTGACACTCGTCACCCTATTCACAGAACTATAGTCAGAGTCTTCTAATGGTTCTGGAGAAAGATCTCATTCCACTTATGGAAACTATTGATGTAAAGGATCACTGATATCAAAGTGTATTAACATGGATATTCTAGTGAAGCAGAGGGAGGAATTTATGAAGCAAAACTCTTACTGTAAATCTGTTTTATAATCTGACTCGTTGCTCCCGTTTAGCACCACCTTGTTGGTAAGTTGGTTGGTGCACATTTTGGGACAGAGAGGACAACTGTTTCGAAGAGGTGTGAAAGAGTTCATCTGCATCAAACTGTAAAAACCATCCTTGAACAGGGGTGGGGGGCCTTCGGCACTATCTATGTTCCACGTACAGGGCCATTTTAACATTTCTTCCTCTGCAATTTGACAATAACCTTCAGCCATGTGAATAGAAGGATTAAAACCTATACTGATCAACTAGCACCAAGGATGAGATTAGGTAACTAGAACATAGTTGTTCTACAACTTTCACACCTCCCATAATCTTCTTGGACAATCAACATCTACCATTCCAGTGACTGGATCAGGGTCATCCCTTAAATGAGGCAGCCTGAGGCTGTTGCCTCAAGCGGCATCTCTTCAGGTAACCAAGGGGGATCAGGGCGAGCGGCATAGTTGCTCTGCTGCACAAAGTTTGCAGTTTGCCTGCTGCCCCATTGAGGCCAGAGCATCCAAAGTTGCGAAGACCTGGCTGGGGAGATGTGTAAGGGCCATACACGTCTCCCCGACCAGCTCTTAGCCACCTGAGATGCTCTGGCATCAATGGTCGCCAAGAGCTGAGCGGGATGTTCTGGCCGGTGTCCCACCCAGGTCCTGGCAACCAGTGATGTCAGTGAGCTGGTTAGGATGCCTGCCAGAGCCAAAACCCCTTCAGTGTGCACCACCCAGAATGTGCACTACCAGCACACCCCACCCCCCACCAACTCCTAGTGGATAGAAATCCTGAGGTATCGTCCTAACAAACATTAGAATTGAAGAAGTAGTTTGGATACGCTACAAAATGTCTTCAAAATTACAGAACAAGTCCAGTGGAATGTGACCAACTAGTACTGATTACACCACGACCTGGATTAATATGAACCGTCATAGACACATAGTATTTGAGGCTGAATAAAGACATTAGTCCATCAAGTCCAACCTATTAGGAAAGGAGTTGAACACGTGACCTTGTTGTGTCATAGAAGTGATGAATCTGTGCCAGCCAACCAACGTTTCCAATTGTTGGTCAGGAGGCTGGAAATGTTGGGTTGTGTTTGATGTACCTTACCCGGGGAGACCTTATCTTGTCATTTTGAAAAATAAACAGGAGTAAGAAACCAAATGACATTATCTTGTGGACTAACCCGGAGTGTTCATTGCTTCAACTGCGCTGAAAAGGAACGCTTGGACTATCACGCTGGGATCGTTTCCTCCTTCCCTTGTCGTCAGATACTAATTTCTCGCCATAGTATTGCTTATTTGATTGCTAATCACTGCTGAGCTATTGTAGCAAGTCCCTTATTATTTGTATTCCTTTTGTGGAAGGGTATGTAATTACGGGGACCCCTATAGCTCCGGAATATTATACAAACACCTCCCAGCCGTCTTTGCTCCTTGTGTTTGGTTGCACAAACCTCCATCTCAGCCTCTAAGCGCCCCGCTATGTGTATTTGAACAGCTGAGCCAATTGTTTCAATCGTCGGATCTACAGAAAAGTGAACTGTGTTGGGGCATATTGCAATTGCTGTTATTTGATTTTTGGCTGAATTGAATAGAAGGTAATTAGGGAAATTGGAACATTTTAGACAGTTTGATGACTTTTAATAGAGCTATAACATATGGTATATTCTTTATTTATTTATTTTTACTCAGTTCAGGCTTTTTAGAGGACAGAAAAACAGTTTCAAATTATTGTAGAGGTTACAATTTTACAAATAATTTGAAAATAAAAACTGGAAACACATGGGTGGGCCTAAGGGAGAAAATCCAATCCTTACAAATGCAATGAAAAAAAAAAATGCAATACTGATAGGTGTTAGGTGAACGCATAGATATGTCCCCCCACCTCCTGACGTCTAGGCTACTATACAAATTCAAAGTGATGTCATAGTAATATCATGGTAGTTGCAAGGCCCTGGGTTTCTACCAGATGGCAGCAGGATGCACTATGGGAAGAAGGCAAGCTGGCGGAGGCAGTGTGATGCTTTGGGCAAAGTTCTGCTGGGAAACCTCGGGTCCTTCTAATCATGTGGACGTCACTCTGATACGTACCACCAACCTAAACATTGTTACTGAGCAAGTACACCCCCTTCATGGAAATGGTATTCCCTGATGGCAGTGGCCTCTTTCAGCAAGATAATGCGCCCTGCCACACTGCAAAAATGGCTCAAGAATGGTTTGAGGAACAAAACAAGGAGTTTGAGGTGATGACTTGGCCTCCAAATTCTCCAGATCTCAATCCAATCGATCATCTGTGGGATGTGCTGGAAAAACAAGTCCCATCCATGGAGGCCGATCGCCTCACAGCTTACAGGACTTAAAGGATCTGCTACTGACAGCTCGGTGCCAGATACCACAGCACACCTTCAGAGGTCTAGTGGAGTCCATGCTTCCATGGGTCGGGAGAAGGGAGGCCTACTCAATATTAGGCGGGTGCTCAGAATGTTATACCTGATCACTTATATATGTATATTATTTGTTCTTTACACATTGCCAAAGTGTTGCTTTTAGAAAGGCATCCCGGAATTGTGAGACATTGTTTTTTGCTTTGTGACAGCATGTTGCAAGATTTGGGCCATATCTCTTGGGGTTCTGGTGACTTCTGCATTATTTGAGAGGGCTTTAGCTTACAAAGAGGTGCATTCCAGCGCCTTATGTTGTCTTTTTTTTAGTCACCTTATATTTTGAGTTATTTTTAACCCAATACAAGTTCAATGTAAGAAGATCTGGTATGTCTGATGCTTGCCCATTTCCTATGCTGCCTACTGAAGAGGAACAAACAACCACACCAAATGCAGAGAGTCCAGCTGATTCTTTCCATATCATTGATATGTATGCGTCAGGAGACACTCCAACGTGTATCGGGAGATCAGCGGGAACGCCTCCATCAGGGCTTGCTAGAATCAGCTGCTGAAGCTTGCTCAACTAAAATTATCCTAAAAATATTACTCAGGACCTTTTTACCCCTTCGAGTCAAGTATCTTTCCCATCCAGACATTTTGATGAAGGGTTCCTGAACCCCTCGAAATGTGATGACTACCAAATACATGTCAAAATTAAATCAAATCAAATGGACTCCCAGCATTTGGTTTGGCTGTACTTTTCTCTCCAATCACCTGTGTCCCATCTGAAGCACCTTTTGGGAGGTTTCTTTGTGCTAGAGCAGTGGTTCTCAACCAGTGTAACCTCAGGACCCACATTTGTCCTTGATCATTAAGTTGCGACCAAAGTCGCACTGCAATGGAATGCACAACATTGTGGTACCGCGCGTTTCAGATGACCGAACCGTGGGTGGGTTTGGGGTGCCATTCAAAAGATCCACACAGTCTCCACACCTTAAAGGAGAACTATGAGCAGCAGCTCGCGGTATACTGAGCCTAGGGTGACGGGAGGACGCTAGTTTGTGTCATCCCGTTACCCTAAGGAGAACTATGGGGAAAAACCTTAGTTCTCCTTTAAAAGAAACTGGAGTTGATCCTCAGCCTGGGGTCCAGTGTGGGCTGCTGTGCTTTGATAGAGCTCCATCCATATGTGCAATGCTTGTAGAGGTGCCCGGGAGCCAGAATGTGACACTACTGTGGTCCAGGCACCTCTACAGGACACATGAGGGAGCTGTACGTTTGGAAGCAGCTCCCTCACGCACATAGCCCCAGCCCATCCCACCTCAAGCCGACACTCGGCACCGGGCAGCATCTTTTAAATGGCTGTTTGGCACGCAAGAACTAACAGTGCTGCAAAAGGAGGAGGCTGAGGAGCCTCTAACCTAGAAAACCTAGAAGGCATGTGGCGATGGGGTTGCGACCCACTTTTGGGTCACTACCCACCAGTCTAGAACCAAGGTGCTAGAGAATCCCCATCTAGAGTCACTGCACTTTTATCTCAAGCATTCAATTGCACAATATGAAAGAAAATCTGCTATGCATGCAGCGCCTCCGTCCCCTCATCCCTGATTTTAAGTTGGAGTGGTTATCTAAACTCTGCGTACCATCAGTGTAAATGACATGCAGGGCAAAGGGACAGGAACTGGTTAATATTCTCGTGCAATGTCGTATGTTAATGGAATTATTGTTCTACCTCAATAAAGCTGTGACCTCGCCCTTACCATAAATGAAAATGGTTCTTTGGCTATTATGTGTGTAAAGCCGTTGTTTTATTTATGTTCTACATATTGTTGCCTATGGGTTCTTGGCAGCCACGACATTATTCTCATCTCTGCATAATGTATTTTTGTTTTTGCTGCAGCCTACACTCCAAACTTGTTTGAAGTTGGAGGAAAATATTGCAGCAATAGAAGACTCAGGCTAAGGTGGACACCAGATGCATTTGCCCTCCGGCCCGATTCTGGCCAGAACGCACTGCATCGCATTGCGGCCGGGATGGGTAAGCTGGGGCTAGGTTCACACCATCGCATTGCGGCCGGCTCACTTTTTTGTGGGGCAGGAGGGGGGCGTGGCGGGCCATTGAAGTGAATGGCTCCGTAGCCACCCCCTCCGGCCGCAATGTGATCGGCCGCACGGGATCGCAAGGCACATTGTGCCTGTGGTCCGGTGCAATCAAAATAGTGCTTGCAGCATTTTGTTCGGATCGGACCGCAGGTATAATGTGCCTTGCGATCCCGTGCGGCCGATCGCATTGCGGCTGGAGGGCGTGGCTACGGTGCCATTCACTTCAATGACCCGCCCCCCCCCACTGCCCCACAAAAAAGTGAGTCGGCCGCTATGCGATGGTGTGAACCTAGCCTCAATGTCTTAGGAAGAACACAGAATGTCACATACTGCAGCTTACCTATCCCCCAGATGTGGTGGCTGCGTTAGTTTTCACTTGTCAGGATATTTTCCTTTATTCTTACCTGATGAACCTGCAAGTAATGCACTTCCTGTCCTACGGTGACAACACTCATTCACTGTACTGTCTCTATGGGGGAGCAGCATTGTCTGTATGGAGGAGCAATGTTGTCACTATAGGGCAGGAAGTGTGTAAAGACAGCTCCCCTATTGAAGGACTGACAAGCTGCCATATTTTAAGATCTTGTTCTTGTGTTCAGATAGACTTTGAAGTGATATTAAAGTCAAAAGGTTTTTAAGCTATTTCGAATGCTCATTAAATCACTTACAATGGACACCACTTCTTGATGTATAAAAGTTTTAATTACCTGCAGAATCAGCTGGTTCCCTGATCACCGGTTCTGATATCCTGTGGTAGGGGGGCTCCCTTCCCTTGCAGAGTCCTATGGAGTAGGGATGCAATGATACCAATACTAATATAGGTATCGGTGCCGTTGCCGCGTATGTGGGCGAGTACTCCTACTCGCCCAGATGCTCCGATGCTTAGCACGATACTTCATGTATCAGGAAGCCGGGCAGCGCGTCATTACACGCTGCCCGGCTACCTGATTCCCTCGGGAAGGCGGCTCCATGCCCCCTCGTCACTTGTAATGAGAGAGCATGGAGACGACTTCCCAGCCAATCATGGGGTCTATTAATGCAAGATTCACTCAAGTTTCACCCAGTTTTCTATTTGATCCTTAGATGACAACACGTGAACCTTTGGGCGAAAGGTTGTGTAAATCTTGAGTGAAAACAATGATAAATATTGTCAGTGAGATCAATGAGTATCTAATAAATACTCGAAATGTCTTTTCAGAGCTGTGTGTCTATATATATGACTTACATGTAGCAATGACAATGAAAATAATTATCTGCGGAATGTCTAAAGCTTTTTCTCCTTTCAGGAAACAGAATGAAATTGAATAAATTCCATCACAGGTCTGCCATTTGTCATCTCCATCAATCTTTCCGGTCTGTCGGTAAGACATCGGCGCGTGTTACTCGTTGGGCTCTCACCACCAGCCCAGTCCTGCTGCCTTTTCTACCTCCATTCCATCACTCCCAGGTAAAACCCGGATGGAAATATCTCCTTCCGACAAGAGGCGTCCTCCGCCGCCAGGACATTAAGATTCCGAGGTGCAATCGATCGCCGTCCTCGGCTGATATCTTTTAAAACAACTTACTTAACAAATTCCGCACACTTTAATTTTCACAGCCCATAAAGAAGCTTCATTACATACAAGGAATTGTGATACATTTAAACAATTACTGTATCATTTTATTTGCCGGGTCACTCATGCGGTAATGTCACGGCGAATTAAATTTCCGCTTAGACGGCAGATATTCTCCGGCTAGGAAATTCATGTAAGGTGAGATATAAATACGGGGACGTAGCTGGAGAGGAAATGTAACAAGCCGCGCTCAAAGCTTTTGTGTTGTTGATAGAAAGCAAATTTCCAAGCGGACCTGTTGTCACGTTTCATCATAAATCTGTAAAACGGGTAATGTAAGGGCGAATGCGTGCAAGCCAGATCTCCATGTGGCCGGAAAGCGCACCATCGTGCACAGGCGTGCGCAAACCGGAAAAATGCGCAACGGCCGTCGCACAGGAAGTGATGCTGTTATCAGGATTAAAGGAGAACTGTGAGGTGAGTGATTTTCACTCATCCCCATAGTTCTAGCCGACGTGCGACAATGAAACAGCTACAGGTCGGCTCAGTAGATCGGGAAGTGAGCGAACACATACCAGCGCTCGCTCACTTCTCGATCCTGTCACTGCAGAGAGCCGTGACAGGGGAGGGACTGGATTCCCCCCTCCCCGCTCCGATCCTCCAGTGCTGACTGGAGACAAGCTCGTGCACTAGAAGCAAGAATTCCACATCGCTTTCCATTTAAAGTCTACTGGAACATATCCTGGACACATATACAATCTATTACAAAATGATTAGGTTCATCACCATGGGATGTGTTCATTTACAAAGCACACTTTATCAACCTGTTCATATTCTGTTCATAATAGGCATTCCCAAGACAGCCTAAGAGCACTGAAGCATGATGGAACATGGAGTTCTGTTTTATGAATTACATGCGGAGTCTACCAATTAGCAATTCCAGCAGCCCACGGGAAGAGGTGGTTTGTGTTATCACTGGCATAGAAACAGGTACGATTATTCAATAAAGATAGCTAAATTAATTAAAATATCCATTATATGGCCAAACGTTTGTGATCACCTGACCATGACATCTACCTGTATGGGCAAATGTATGTGGACCCCCCTCCAAATGACTGAGTTCAGGTATTTCCAGTGAAAGGTATTGATGCTACACCATACAAAGACATTGTAGATAATTGTGTTCTTCCAACCTTGTGGTAACAGTCTTGTAAAGGTCCTTTTCTGTTCTGCCATGACTGTCCCTGTGTACAAAGCTAGTTCCATAAAGACATGGTTTGGCCAGTTTGGTGTGGAGGAACTTGAGTGTCCTGTACAGAGCTCTGACCTCAACCCTACTGAACACATTTGGAATGAATTGGAACCAGATTGCAAGCTAGGTCTTCTATCCCAAAATGTTTTGACCAGTTTGGTGTGGAGGACTCAAGTGTCCTGCACAGAGCCCTCAGATCAACCCAACTGAACAGCTATGGGATAAATTGGAACCAGATTGCAAGCTAGGTCTTCTCCAAAATGGTTTGGCCATTTAGATGTGGAGTGACTCAGGTGCCTGCCACAGAGCCCTAACCTCAACCCTACTGAACACCTTTGGGCTGAATTGGAACCAGATTGCAAGCCAGGTCTCCTCATGCAACATCAGTACCTGACCTAACAAATTGGCCCGGATTCCCACAAAATACTTCACAATCTTGTGGAACGCCTTTCCAGAAGGGTGGAGGATGGTACAGCTACAAAAAAGCTACAAAAAAGGGAGGCAACTCCATACTAATGGTCATGGTTTGTAATGGGAGGTCCACAAAGGTCATATAGTTGTTGTGGTCAGGTGTCCACAGTCTTTTGGCCATATAGAATGGGCAGTATGCAGAAGTTTAAAAAAAAAACTAAAGTACATTACTTACGCCGGCAGAGTTTGCAGCACTGTCCCGGAATGTGAACGGGGAGGTGATCGGGAGAACAGTTAAGAGGTGGGCACAACATCCGCCTGCACTCCACAGCACCATTCTGAAACAGAAGAACATCTTGTCAAAACAATACTCACTGCTCAGCAGGACACAAGGCATTTCCACAAATAGCAACAGCCTATGACACTATGCTAGGGCAAGAACAGAACCCCTTCCCACTATATAATAATAATAATGATGAGGAGAGGGCGATGTGTTCTGTAGTCCTGTTCTGGTAGTACATGATTAAGTGATGTCTCCCTAGGGCAGGAAGTGTGTTACTGGCAGGATTATGAAGAGGAAACTAATGCAGCTGCCACATCCAATGGCTGTAAACTGCAATAAATCATCCTCATGAATTACTCCGATCATGTTACCCACTCAAAATAAAATACACATTTTCGAGTGGACAGACCGTTTTAAAAGTGAACATCTTCAAGAGTGTAAAGTACAGTGGTACCTCGGTTCACAAAAACTTAAATTTGTTCCACGATTCTGGTCGCAAACCGAATTGGTCGCGAATCGAATCAAACTGCGATCAGACCGCAATCTCGACTAGAGAATAGACTTGTGCGCCGTTAAATTATTCGTTTCGTTTCGGAATATCCGTTATTTCGTATTTCGTGTCCGAAACTCAATTCGGATTCGTACGAAATACGAATTTTCGTTAGTTTCGTCACATTTTCGTAACTTTACGAACATTCGTTATGATGAAGTTAAAAAGCAAAAATACCTTTGTTAATATTGGAGTCGATGGTAGTTTTTTTTTTTTTATCCGAAATACGAAATTCCGTTTCGGATCCGAATTTCGTATTTTGGAAAAAAAAAAAAAAAAAACTATACCATCAACTCCAATATATTAACAAAGGTATTTTTGCTTTTTAACTTCAATATAACAAATGTTCGTAACGGAACAAAAATACGTTATCGGAATTTCGTATTTCCTGCCTGTGTATTGTAATGCAACTCTAATGCAACTTCCGTTGGTCAACAAACGAAATACGAAATTCCGTTAACGGATTTCGGATCCGAATTTCGTATTTCGTATAAAAAAAAAAAAACTACCATCAAGGCATCAACTCCAATATTAACAAATGTATTTTGCTTTTTAACTTCATCATAATGATTGTTCGTAACGGAATGAAAATCCGTTA